AGTTTGTAAAGCAGCACAGAAATTAAATATTCCATGTTATTAATAATTATTATATCATTGTGATATTATTACATAAGTAACAAAACAAAACTACATCTGTGCATTAAGAATCATTGTATTGGGCATTACAGGATACTCTGGATATCAACTGCAGTCATGGGCAGGCCAAAATATTTTTACAAGTTGGAGCTAAAAGGAGATCTGTCATGGAACTGGTGTGCAGCCTGGCTGCTCCTCTTCAGTGCAGTGCTTTCTCCAGTGTATTTCTCACTATTCCTCAGCACCATCCACAGTTAGTGCAGCTCCTTTGCTTCTAGGGTGAGAACTATCTGAGCCAGCCAGCTTGGGTGTCTATGCTGTACTTCATTGAACTGTGTGGATTTACCCTTTGGGCCTGTTTCAAGGCAGGGATTTCAGGCCAGGATGGGATAATCTTAGACAAATGTCCTACCCTACTTGTTATTTTTAGGCCTATCTCTCTCCCTCCTTTCTCCCTTTCCTTTCTTGTCATAACATCTTTGAAAGGTCTCGCTTCCTCCTAAGGGTGAATGGGAAAACTCTGAAATCTTAACAATGGTTAGATGTGAGAAACATTTTACTCTGAAGTTGTTGGAAATTTCACACCTACTCCTCCTCTCCTCAAGATAGCTCATTGCATCATGCTCTGCACACACGAATTCTTTAAGTACAGATCATTTGGATTTTCCCATTGTTCTTTAATGAAAAATAAGACTTTCTTTCCTCCATAAGAGAAGGAAAATTTAAATTCTTCAAATGTTCCTTGAACCATCTTTGAAACAGAAAAAGAAGTTTTCTATCAGTCTCTTCAAGGAAAAATATTTATTGAGAGACAGTTTCACTTGCTTTATTAAAATTATAAAATTATTGTTATAGTACTGTGCACTACAAGAATATGATTTGCCACTAATAAAAAAAAAGGCTTGTTAAAATACAGCTATTAGAAACTTGAAAATGAGATGGGCTTAATACTGATGCTTTCTCAGTCACCTTCAGACAGCTCTGTGAAAGATAAATGTAACTTTTACAGGTAGTTGATACCATATGCAGATCAATGATCTAGTCTTTCAAAAACACCTATATGTGGTTTCATGGTTTTTTGTTCAGGATTTTTTTTTTTTTTGACAAACAAACTCACCAGAGAATGGCAGGTCAGGAGCCTGTGCTCAGAGCTCCAGCCTGTGTTCTGTTAATACACTCTGGGCACCACAAAGAATTATTTTGTTCAGGGTCAGAGAGTCACTGGGATGCTTAGCCAGTGAGGGCTTTTCACTAGAGATAGCTGCAAATAGCACAGAAGGGAAGAAAATCACAGATGAGTGCTCACCAGTAACAAGGCAATCCCAATGGTTTCCTTTCAAAATATTAGTGTGGGAGCAGAGAGCAAAACCAGCAAAGCTGCAATCTGTTTACATGTCTAAGTCCTTGCAAAGAGAAACTGCTTCTTCCCAGGTTTCACTAAACAGCTTGCTGTTCACTTTTTCAGTACTTTGCTTAGATTTGCCACAAAAACACAGTCCCTAGCACTGCATACCTGCAGTCCCTCTTCCTCATTAATGAACTGCCCATGCTGGGTGATTCTCTTCAAGTCTGTAAACAAGGACTTAAGTGCTGTTACTTGATCAAACTGGGCACTATTCTTCTAAGCATGGCCTTAGACTTCTGTCCAAATATGAGTTTTTTTCATAACAATTAAATAAGAATGATAGAACTTGTGCTTCATCAGGAAAGTTGTGTGTGACAGGGCTCTAAAAACAGACTTTGAGCTCAAAGGGACAATAAGAGAAGGAATGAAGTCTTTCTGGTCTGGGGTTTCTGGTGCAGGGTTTTGGGCACAGAAGTTGTGCTACCAAAGGGCAGTCAGAGGTGAGAAAGTGAACATCTTGTCTGCTGTGCATACAGAGGGTTTTTCTCTTATGCCATATGCCCTGGTTCTACAAATCTGCTTTTAGGCTAAAGCGTAGGTGTGTCTGCTGAGGAGCAGCTCTTTGAAGAAGCTGTAGGTGTAGCATGTCTGTCATTAATCAGGCTGGAGATCACTCTTCAATCATGGAAAATGAAATGAACATTTAGTCAGTGGGTGAGAAAACAAAGACTCATTTGTCAAGTCTTCTTATCAGATGAACAGACACCTTCTGATTATACCAGATTTTTGTTTACCTTTTACTGATTTTTATATTATTTTGTTGGATATTTAAAATCTAGTATAATAGTGAATCCCATGCACAAAAATATGATCATGGTTAGAAGATATCTTAAAAAATAAAAAAGGACACAAAAAGAGTCAAACCCCAAAATGACAGTTGGAATATATAATAATGCTGACAAGAAATATCAGAGCATCACTATAAATTATCATCTATTAGGAATTAATCAGTTATTAAGAGTTACTTAGAGCTCAACTACTATTTTGATGATGATGAGAATCATTCCTGATTTTCTGGTGCAGGAAATTTAACAACCTCATGCATTGTATGCCTTTCCTTAAGACATATTTACAGCACTGCTGCTCTGAAAGCATCACTGTGAGAGGTTTGGGAACTTGTACGAGCACTTTTTAGATGCCAACAACAAATGCATACATATTTTAAATGGATTTGGAACACACTGATTGAAACATACAAAAACAATCATAGAAGAAATCTCTTTAAGATTTCTCTGTTCTGCACAAATGTCAAGTCCCCAGAAATGTGTCTGCGACTGGAATAAACACTGAATAGACTTACACTGAAAAGAAACAAGGTTCAGGCTTTAGTAGCTTGTTTCCACAAGATACCACTTCCAGTACACAGAGCCTTCTGTAAGGGAAAACTCACAGTCTCAACAGCCTAACTCCACAATGAGGAGAGGAACTATGGGAACAACAGATCACAACACCTCCTGGTCATTCCCACAGGAACAGAAAATACTTTGTCACTCTTTACCTTGCACATTACTTCAACATAAATGTAATCTTCTGTTTTGTTCCTTTCTCAGCTCTATATGAACAAAATAGTAATTTTTTTCCTCTTTCTTTGTCCCTGAATAGACACACAGGTGTCTGTTCCCTGATGCACATCCACTGAATGAGATCTGACATTCCTTCTCTTCCATGCAGATGATCTAATTATTCCCACACGCTGCTGAAAGGCGTTGCAGTTTACATGCCACGAGCTGTGTCTCAGTGTGTCTCACTGACATCTGTTCTAGCCAGCTCCTGACAGCCAGCACCAGTGTGTGGCATAGGGCAGCACTTAGGGACAACTGACAAGACACAGAAAATACCATCTGCATCACCTTTAAATCTTTAAAGGTAATTCCCAGCATTAAAATCACAGATGCATTATCTTCTACTATTTATGAGCAGGCTATGTAGACATATTTCAAAGTATTATTTAGCCTTTAATAAACTTTCTGCTTTCAGTGAGCAATGACTCTTCAGAGCAAATTTACAGAAAGCACATTTTGTTAGTATTTTGAATTTCTCAGTCAGAATATTTTTCAGTATAAACTATCATCTGCTTACAAGAAAGGAGTAGCTTATAAGATGTAGCATGTCAGGTAAATATATTAGGAATATTGTAAGAGAAAAAAACCACCACATTTTTCCTTATTATCCTTTAAAATATGAGAGCTTTGCAAACATACACTTATTCAAACCTTCATTTCAAGTTAGTCATCATAGTGCTTCACTCTCCAGCTCTTTATATGCTGTGAACCTCCAGTGTCTATGCAGTTGTTTCTAAGGTAACAGATCAAGATGCCTTGTGAAAAAAATGAATCAGATCTTGAATATTCAAGACATCTCCAGTTGCAGAGATGAGAAAAGGGCAATATCATCTCAACCAAGGGTTCTCAATGTCTTTTAGACCCCAGCCTGGTTTGCAGGCAAGAATAATATAATCCACCCTAAGGCTGTGAGTGTGAGAGTACAGCGGTGCATGCAGTTTCAGGCATGTAAAATGTCAGAAATTTTTTAATCAGAGCCATAATTAAGGAATTACGGAGGCTGTTCTCAACAGAGACTCGTTGCCTCATTGCAGGGTACACACACACAGAATACAGATGAAGAATGTGTTTGGTGGGTTGAGCCTTCATTCCAACCACTGACAGTCACAAAGAAATCTTTCTTTCTGTCAGACACACGATACAGAAACCAAAAACACATAAAAAATTAACATGAACCAGCACGTGAAAATAAATGCACCTTTCTAAAGAGGCCAAATATGTATTATTCCTATCAAAGGAAACAAATAGATATCTTTCACAGGTCTTTCACAGGATTATCTGGGTCAATAGTTTTCAGTGATTGGAGCTACTGGGTTTTGTTGAGGGATTTTTGTGATGTTTTTGATTGTTTCTTTTCTTAAACTGGCTAGAACTATATTTTGTTTCTTTTACAGGCTATATTGCTTATTATCTGAGTCCAGATGTCATATAAAATATAAACACAAGTAAGGCACATAAAGAGAATATTAACCAAAATATGAAAGGATTTTAGAAAGCTTTTGTTGCTACAAAAAAAAACCCTAAACTCTTTGCTTAACAATATCTGACACATATGCTCACTGCTATACGCACACACCCACTACTTGTGCTAAAATAATCATAAGGTATTCTTCAAATGCATATCATAATGAGATCTAAAAAACCAAATTCAGAGAAAATGATCTGACTTGATAAAAACTTTCAGAGTTGTATTATTTTCCATGTTGTGTATGGAAAAACTTTCATGTAGCTTGGGGATCAGACAAAATTCACAGGTATATGACTGGACAGGTCATGACCACTTGTACCTGCTTTCTTGGTTTTGAATCTTGTGGTCTGCTGCATTAAAAAATATTACTCACTACAAATGCTTGGAATAAAAATTGGTTGAATATTTATATAGCTTGTTTGGCAACATACTTCAGTGATTGCTCTGCATGAAGAAAATATTAACAGATTCTGGAACTTGTATCATTGAATAAACTTAAAGGAAGGTACATTGATTCGGGTCTTACGTTCTTGGAAAGATGTGAAGAGCATCTGGAATCGGCTGTTTCGACTGCCTTCATCTGCCCACATGCGGATTACACCCAGGCCTGTCCTCAGCATCACATCATTAGCAACTGTGCTGCAAAACTTTGCCTTCAAATCTTCCACCGAGCTGCTTCCGTCGTACACTGCTACAAAATTCCTTTTGCATTCGTTGGAATTCTGCATCTCGTAGTCCAAAAATCGCAAATAGATCTATAAATCAATCAAACAACAAAGGGAGCATGTACAGACATTTGAGAATGACTGAAAAAACATTAAGCAACTTTTCTCTACATTGCAGGAGAAAGAGTACACAGCAATTCCATCAAAATATTTTTTCTGGAGCTGGTGATCCATAGGGCACTTCCTCAGAAGGCTATTAATGTGCAAACTGAGCACTGTTTCTACTTCCTGGTATTTTGTCTTGCTTCCAAGTAGAATGTCTCAGAAGATCTAGATATTTCTTTGTTCTTACCTACAGTAAGGTCCTAATTTGCAAATACATACTTTTTTTTCAGAAGTATGTGCAATGATTCTTCAAGCTGAAGGACAGATAAGCTAGAAATTTCTTTTTTTACTGCTTGGCATAATATTGCTCTATTACATGACTGACATGTGAAATAATAAGGCAAATCATTGCTGCTCCCTCCCCAGAGTCAATGTGTCATCTTATACGTTTCTGCTACACTGATTCAGGAAGTGAGAATCTAAGAGCCAGGCAGAACACCATCATTAATCTTTTTGTGTTTCCTCAAGGATCTGGCCACCATCTCAGCTCTTCTAAACAAAGCATTATGGTATACATTTTATAATTTAAGTGGCTTGAAATCAAGCATATTTTGTGTAAACTCCTAGAAACCTATGTCTCTTGCATACAAGTTAATTGTCTCACAATGTAAAAGATACATTGCCCTTTGCAAAGAACTCTTCAAATCTACTTAAAAAGAAGGAGGGGTGAGGATAAAAGACTATTATTTCATATTCAAGTGTATAAGGACTTTAGGGTAAACCACCAATTTTAAAAGAAATTGATTATAAAAACAACATCAAATATTCAATTCACAGAGAATGCAAGTACTATTTTCAATAGATGATACATAATCAAACTGCCAAAGGGACTCCTGAGATTTCAGGAGAATGATACAGAAAGGTGAATTAAGACAGAAATTTTATAAAAAGGCAGTCAGCATACACAGCATAGAGCTGTATGCATCTTCACTTGAAAAAATTACTAAAAAAAAAGAAACCCCACTGTATTAGACATCAAATATACTTATTTCCAAACAATTTTATTGACTTCAGGTATTTTTTTTATGCACAGAACAAATGTTTTATAAGCTCTTCTGCTTTTGCAAAAAGTTCACAAGCAGTGCATATCCTAGTAGCAACAAGCCTCATAATTTCACCTCATTAATATATTAAAACTCTTATGGTTTTAGAATTATGTACTCTCAAGCACTCTGCTACAGTTTAATAATAGCTCAGATTTTTTAATGGGCCTTTTCAGGTATTGTGTTATTGTATATTTTCATTCCTTGTTATGCTTTGCATGAGTGTCCCTCTGAAAAGAATATTTGTGAAAAATTTTTACTAGCAAATGAAATTAGGTATACCAAAGGCACATCTTCTTTATAATCTGTCATCCTTAGAGTGACACTTACTCATACTCCATCATTTCCACCTTTCAGAAGAGTTCATAGGAATATATTTCAATTAAAGTGCAGTTAAGTGTACTTTAATTTCACCATATATCCTGGAGTTTACATACCAAAAATTAAGGAATCTGCTATTGGTCTCTACTGAGACCAACAGCAGATTCCTTAATGGAGCAACTAAGAGAAATATACAAAGACATATTGAGATGGAAATATCTCATATCAAGGTATAGTCTTTACAGTGTTTTTCACTTCCTTTACTGGTTGTTCAGTAAAACAGTGAAATGATCCCCACTACTGTGCTGACAGAGAGAGATCCCACATGGGGGATCCCACATGGGGGAGGGAGGTATGGGAAGAGGCAGAGCCATGATACAAACACCCAGCAACTGACCACATTTGGGACACACCAGAGAGCTGCTTCTCAAGGAAGGGTGCAACAGGCACTGTGCAGCCCTGGCACCCAGCCTCTCCTGGGAAGCTGCTGAGACAGTCCATAATACATCTCTGCATTACTTAGGGAATTAAGTGTGCCCCTTGATTTTCTTTTCTCACTTAACTCTGCTTCAGGTGGGTGTCCCAGTGCCTGCCAGCCTTGTCACAGGAAATGCAATGAAATTTTCCTGCAGATGATTATAGGCAATATTGCATACATGTGACTGTTTCCCAGGAAGAGAAATGTGTCAGATAGATGGTTCACAAAGAACAGAGGGCTTGCAACATGCTTTGTCATGAATCATTACTTTTACTGTCTGCATATGCCTATTGTATGTACACCATTTATATTTATATGCCATATATATACATATATATATGATAGACCACAAAGTTATAATGCAATATACCACATCACATTTTTGTCTATTCCCCTCTTCAAAAAAGCTCATATTTACTCCAGAAAAAAGATTGCATTAATCTGATGGCAGAACATTCATAAAACTATACCTACTGGGTGAAAGGCCTAGCACACCTGTTCACGTGTTCTCTATTTCTATCCTGCTTCCTTTTTTATATGCATTTATATGTACAATTGCATGTGCATATATATATGTATTTCTTTTAAAGGGTATCCCATTCCAGTATGGAGATGTAATTTTTATGAGTTTTCATTCTTACAAGAAATGTGCACTAATCCTCACTGTGGTTACAAAATATCAGCTCTCCCAGCAATTTCCAGCATTCATCAATTATTCCTGATCTGTTCAAAGACACTGTTCATATAGCAGCACAGACAAAATCTTATTTCTATGGGCTTATCACTTGACATTCTTTAGTTTCTGGAGGCATACCAGCCTTATAAAATAGTAAAATATTTCTTAGAGTAGCAGTCATAAATACTGAAAAGGAATCAAGAGAATAAAAACTCAGCATTTTGTTTTGAGTCTTCCAGGGGAAGAAGCCAAAACCTTCAGTTTTTCCCAAGCCTGAATTCTGCTGTCAGTCATACCTGTTCATTCCTCTGTGTGGGAAATTCAGCCCACACCATAATTATACAGACCTGATAGGTAATGGAACCACTAGAAGAAATATTTGACTTAGAAATCTATGTCTATCCTGTAGAAGAAAGATGCCACTTTCTCCAGTGCCATGAAGTTTCATAAATTAGATAAAATAAGCTGCTGATATTCTGAGGTGAGTTGGAGCTTCATTTTCGTAATTGTCTTTGGAGATGACTACTCCCAGAACTTTATATAAAATATTGAGGACTTTGTACAACACACCCTGAAATCAGGGGGTTTATTTCAATCTATTTTTTTGAATCAGACCTTTAGCTTAAGACTGCAGTGTATTTTTAAAAACTGGAAACTGATTACACAAACTGAGAACCTGACATTGGATCAGATTTTATTTTAAAGAGCTGGAATGATTTAATTGCATCTGCACGCCTCTGCCAACTTGTATGGTTTCATTGCTATATATTTGCCATTGTTCCTGTCACTGGCTGTAAGACCCACACTGGCAGAAGAAAATGACTAATAATAAATTGAGTTCCCCAGGGAAAGAATAAAACTGATTTTATGACAAACCCTTATTTAATGCAAAATGTTCCCTGTACATAGCTTTTTTGAAATCAGGGAAATATTCTCATTGCTTTTGCTGATATGTGGATGTCACTAAAACAAATGTATCAGAAAGTGAGAGAAAAATTATCAATATTACTGGTTATTTCATTTACAGAGATCTTAGCCACTACTTCTGCCATCAGTGGATAAGGAACTTTGTTCCCCTGAAAGAAAATGAACTAAAGCAGAGGTCACAGACTCAAACACCACCATCTGCCTTCATTAACCATTTTTCATTGATGCCAATAGGAGCTTTTGGAATGAACATTTCCATAGATACTGACACAGTATATTAGCATAGTCGAGGCATTCTTGCTGAAGAGAACATCTTATTTGAAAGAAGCATAACTGCCATATCTTCTTCTTTCACATTTTTGCTGCAAAGTTTTAATAAGTCACTTTTGTCAAGTCATCAGCTCCACATTACTTAGGAGAGGGGGCTGCTCAAGTATTAGATTAACTGAGTTTTGAGATGTCACTGCAAATGCCAATGTCATTAGCAACAAAACTGATAAAGCCTCACTGCAACTGTGGCATATTACACTCAGTCACATAATATTTTAAATAATTCTCTTGTCACCTGTAAGTTTTGTATGGTCACCATAAATAGTAATTAAAAAAGGAAATTATGGGAAAGTTTTACTATTTCTTTTGATTTAAATTTGAAAACAACAAAAATCTTTGACTGAACATACTAGAAAAAAATCCCACAAAATTATTGTAAACTACGAATAATATATCACCTCAGTAAAATAGTCAGATTATAATCTCCTCATAGTGAATCACTTCTGATGAGTTCTGCTTTTTAATCAATCACTGAAGGTTAGGGATGACAACATGATTGATCAGGCCAGTCAGGAAAAGCTTCAAACCATATCCCAGCATATCAGACTTAATATATCTGCAGAGACACTCAGTTGCCTTAAACCAAACCAAACAAAAAGCCATCATTCAGCTGCCAAAAGTAATTTAAACATAAGAGAAAAACTTCCTCTTCATCCAAGTGTAATGTCCAGATTTCGCATACTCTCCTTCTGGGTTCAGTTAATTCACTTGTAATCACAGGACTGGGTTAAATTGTCCTGTTGCTCAGTGATAAGTTACAGCACCTGCTTTATTCTACATCTTTTTCAGCTCTGTGTGATTAACACAGTACTTTCAAGATGATGCCTCCAGTATTTAGGCCTGGGAAACCCAGTTTTTTTAAAGCAGATTGTGCAACACTAATTGAACTCCTTCAAGGCAACCAGACACCAAGTACACCAGTCTAAAAAGCATGTTACCAATGAGGCTTGTATTTGTCATCTGAAATTCTCTGTCCTCTTGCTCAGATGTTATCTTTTTTTTTTTTCAATCAGCATTACTTCAATGCAAAAGTGTTAATAACAAATCTGTTGCATTTTTGTTTGTTATTTTGGGGGATTATTCTACATTTTTGGTCTTTCTGCTACTAGTCTGGGACAATGTTGTGCAAACAGAGAGCTCCATACTTTGT